TTCGGCTGCCTCCTCCTCCCACCACTACTTGCCCCCTGCGTCTTCATCTGCCCCAGGCCTGATCAAGATCTATGGGGATGCCCTCTCCAGTGGTGCCAACTATCGTTCCCTGCTGGCCAACTTTCACTCTACAGCCAAGCAGCTCATCGCCCAGGTCATCACTCGCTACACTGAGAGAGAGAGGGAGGAGGCAGATGACGCAGGTGAGAGAAGGGGAAACTTTCTCTCATTTGGACTTCTGCTGCAATCCATTACTTTAACCAATTGGGAGTGACTTAATAATATAAACATAAACAGCGGTGTTATGGAAAAATAATTACACTGTCTTTTTCCTCCCTTTCTCCATTACCATGTAGTTCTTCAGAAACACAGCCCTGAGGACTTCCTGTTGTGTGATGTCATTGGAAAGCCCATCCAGCAGCCAGATGGAGCTATCAAATGGGAGACAGAATGCCGGAGAAGTGTTGCCCCATGGGAATGTCCCTTGTTGTTAGTGGACATGTGGCGGCCTAAGGATGGATTTGAGCGGCGCTTTGAAATCCAGAGGAAGGAAGACTATGAGAGAGAAGAGAGAGAGAGGGAGAAGGAGCAAGAGAGGGAGGGAGAGAGCTATCATGGTATGTATAAGACTCAGCAGACATGTATCAGACTCCCTGTGCAGACCCCCCAAGGTCACATTGACCACTTCGATAATTGTCTATCTGAACAACAGGTGTGCACTGGCGGCGGAGACCAGAGGAGAGTGAGCGTGGTCACCGTGGAAGGAACACAGAACTCAGGAGGAGCATCAGTGAAATGAACCTGAGTCTACGACGTCGCCCAGGAAACCACATCAGCAATGACCCACGTAACTCTGGGCACCAGCCTGATAATAGTGGAGGAGTGCAGGAGAGGAAGAACATTGTGAGCATGATCAGTCCACAGCCAGGAGAGGTAAAAACAAATGCTATGGTAAGGACATGCTGAATGTATTATTTGTTTGATCTCCTAATCATCATGTCTTTACCTGTTATTTCAGATTAGAGTATCAAAAGCAGAAGCTAAGGTTGGATGGACAAACCAGCCAGCAGAGGATGAGAAGGATTACTCCAGCTGTGACCTGGAAGTGATGTCACAAAGTCTGATCCTTCCACCCACTGACCGCCCCTATTTCCTGCTGCTGCAGGGTTACGATCAAAGCAAGGCAAGACATGTTGACAGATGATATCACATACACAAATACTCACAAACAGCTCCTACACAAATGTGCACTACATAAACATGTTGTTGTAGGAGCTGCGCAAAGGTAAGAGTGTGCACACACCCTGTGCGTGACATCATACCTGCATGTCTGTAATCGCCACATACCATCGAGGTTTCCATCGCTCGCCAAGACTCTCCCATTTAGCATCCAGCACAAAACAACTTCAGAACAGTGCAATGCCTCAACATTTACTCCACTGAAAGCACAAAACCCCTCTGTGTACATCACTCCATCTCACACAATGATCTCATACAGGTCTCCATTGTAGTAAACTGTGACACACTTCATACCTTATCAACCACCTTCTTTTCAGGTTGACATCTAATGGAAGATGGATATAAACCATAGCACTTAAAAGATCACAGACCTCCCTGACTGTTTGCTCCTCTTCACTGTGTGTTTTGTTTAGGATTTTGTTTTGTACATCATGGCAGGACATATGCATGTGTTTGGAAGAAAGCCCACAGTGAAAGAGAGAGAG